ATTAGTATTTTTGATACTGTATACTTTTTTTTAAACCTTCTAAGTGCATGCTTGGATACAAATTTTTCTAAAAAAATCTAATCATTTTTACCAATCATTTTTTTTTTTTATAAAATAAAATTAAACTAAATTTTAACTCAAACTCACTATCCTCAATATAATTAAATAATATTACTCAATATTTTTTATACAATTTTAATTCACTATTCATCAAAACTCACATAATTTTAACAAATTATAATTTCACATCATTTCTCTCGTACTTTTATATAAAATCAACTTTACTTATTATAAATGTTATTTTAATATAAAATTAAAATTTCACTAACCACTAATCATACTATTTTTCAAAATTAACCATAGCAAACAAAAAATTTATAAAATTAAAGCATCTTATATCCAACCATAACTTGAACTCATTGGTAATAGGGCTCGATCAAAACTCCAAAAATCAACCCAAATAAAAATTTCAGTTCGATTTTTTATGTCTGTTTCGGTTATCTTTTTTTTTTTTTTTACTTTAAAGTTTCAGTTATTTTGGTTCGTTTTCCATTTAATTTTTAAAAAAATTGAAGTAACCGAGCGGATACAACATTAAATGAAAATATAAAATATTAAATATATTTTATTATAAATTACAATTTAGTTCGGTTAATTCAACTGAATAAATCAATTGTTTTCGTTCCGTTTAGTTCAATTGTAGTTCGGTTTGGAACAAAAGTTTGGTCGGCTTGGTTTTTTCAAAAGTTTGACTCTGTTATTTCGATATTGACATTTCAATCGGTCAATTCAACTGAACCGATAGATGAACAACCCTAACTAGGGGCGGTATTCTTTTTTTACTAAAAAATAAAAACCATAAGAAAATAAATCAAAACTCACTAATTTGTTACATAAGTCACCGAAAATAACTGGTTCAGTGTGGGCACGACTAGGGCTGGTATTTTTTTACCGAAAAACAAACCGTACCGACTCATTTATTACAGTAGCCGTTAGTCGGTAGCCTATTTGTTATCGGTTAGGTATCAGTTTTGAATCTGTAAGGGTTCAGTTAATACCGAACCGAACCGATTAGGATATTAAAACAAAAAAAAATAGTAGCCAGCCGGCTGGCCCAGCCTACTTCACTCCACTAAGATAAGGGCTTTAATTAATTTAGCCCACGCAACAATGAACTTCAAAGCCCAAAATAAGCTCCAGTCTATTAAGATAACAGGCTTGAGCCGGCTCTCCCTCACTTGGTCTTCACGCCTCAGCCCTAACGTCGCGAAGCCACTCCTCACTTCTCACTGAAATTCTCTCCGGCACCGGCAATCGACAGTTCGACATCACAAATTCAGGTGAGTATTTAATATTTGGTACTGAATTATGTTTCCCTTCTCACTGCTTTAATCTGGTTATTGGTTTTGGTGTATCATCCGAGCCGAGCCGTGTCATCTTGGCTCTATGACTGAGCCGAGCAATAGTCTCTAAAACAAGTCTTCATTTTTTACTCTTTAGTCTTTCTTTATTTTATTTTATTTTTTTTTTCGGTTTTTTACTGTTCTATTAAATTAAAAGTTAAAACCTAAGTACCTAACCCGACCGATCCTATACAGATTTAGAAAAAATATATAAAAAATAATAATATAATGAAATTAGTGAATTAGTATTATACTATAGGGAAATGCGTCGGGTATTTTAACGGTTGGATTATTTATCTTATGCTAACTACATGTGTATCTAACAGTTAAAACACTCGACGGAATGGTAGTGTAATGGGACTTGTAGCATTTCCCTATACTATAATATTATTATAGTGTGCTGCAGACTTTCACTCTCACAAAAGTTTTTACGGACTTGCAAAGGAAGTGAAGAGAACAGAACAAGCAAGTTTTCGATGGCGTCGGCACCTCCGCACCGGGAAGTGCTCGCACTCTACCGTTCTCTTATGCGGACGGCGCGTGTGTTTACGGACTACAACATCAGGGAGTACGCCAAGCGCCGCACAATCGACGCCTTCCGCTCCAACCGCAACCTCTCCGACCCTGCCGAGGCCACCGCCGCCTTTGCGGACGGCCAGGCGCAGCTCGCCGTCGCCAAACGCCAAGCTGTCATCTACTCTCTCTATTCTCCCTCCATCAAGAACATCATGGAAATCAAGCAGTCGTGATATCACATTCTCGGCTGTGCCCAATTGTGGCTAACGGGTCAGTTCGATTTTTTCTTAGGGTTTTTCTGCATAGTCTGAATTTTTCCAGTTTGTTTTAGCTTATTTGTGTTTCTTAATTTTCTGAGAACGCTAAAAGCCGATGATTTTTTTTTTCAGTTTGCTGATTTGTGTTTGTTATTGTCGGGGAACAGATACTTTCTGGTTTGATCTTTCAGCTTGGCTGTAATTCATGTTTTTCATTATGTCTGTTTTCATGATGGTAGAAAAAAATTGTCCACACGAGTGTGCACACCAAACAAAGGTGTTTGATGATTTTGGTTATATACTTCGAAGAATCATATGATTTGATTGGATAATTTCTTATCTCCTGAGCTTGAGATTATTGGGGATCATGGGATTTTCGTTGGTTGTTAAGAGAAGCTACATTTGATGGGAACCTATTCATTTGGTTTTGGTGCACATAATTACTTTTGGTCACCAATTAGTACTCTATTGAAAACACTGAGCTTGCTTTATTCTGGGTAATCTCACATTCTCACTCTACTGATTTACATCCAGACGAGCAATAAGAAGCAATCCACTAAATAAGTACATTAAGTTAGATACTCCTTGGCATTATTAATGTTTTGTCTAAAACGGGATCACCGTCATGTTGCTCAGTCATGCTTGTCCCTTTCCAAGATGAAAGTAGTTAAATAACTTTGAAACTTGAAGATGTCTATATCTGGTAGAAATCACTGTTTTAAGCAACTTTTTATCATCGGACAATACAATTAACTCATTTGTGAATTATCTCTTGATTTTCAATCTTGAGAATCATATTTCAACCTATCTAGTAATAACTACTTTACCTCGTTTTATAAATTGCTGCTGCCGGCCTATACAGTTCATCTGGATATATATGAAGAGATGAGAAGATTGTGTGAATCCACAATAAATCATCAAACAAAGTTGTGTGTACATGTTTGCGTGTGCAAAAATGCATAGTCGAAATTATCTTAGAACTTAATATGATAATTGTAGGGTGAATTTTTGACAAACCTGAAGAAATATTTCGAATGGAATTGTGAATTCAAATGAAAAGGTCTGCCTGGAGTGGATGTTTATATGCAAGTGATTTCTTGTTCCCGAAAAAAAAAAAAAACAACCTTTGTTCTTATTGTGTGAAAAATCTACCGGTGAACGGAGATATACTTGTGTAGTTGAAGTTACGCTCTGTTATTTTATATTTATCTGCAGTTACTGCTAGTTGGTACTACTGATCTTATCAGAATTTTTCTGTGAAGTTTGCAGAAAATAACTTTAGAGTGCGGAAAATGATTGTTCTTAGTTGATTTTTTTTTTTTCTCGACTCATTTCTTGTTAGTAGTATATTTTACTTTAAATGTTTTTTATTTATCTGAAGTGAGTTTGTACTTCTGCTTGTAGATGGTGTATATGCCCATTTTTCCGTATGTCGAACGCTAGTTGATTTTTTACAATTGCCTCGTGTAGTTCTGCTTGTCATCAATGTCTGGACTGACCGAATTTTTGCCTAACATGTTTTAAGTGAAGCGGGCATGGAAAAGGGAATAGTATGTTAATGTTGCAAGAGCAATAGTATATAAAAGGTATAGATTTAGAAAAAAAAAAATAGAAGAAAATTTTAAAAAGAAAGAGTGATAGATTATGGAAATTAAACCAATTCATGCTTGGTTTCAGTGGTCACCTGCAATTATAAATAAATAACTATAATAACTAGGCAAGATCTTACTTCTGATTTCTGGAAAAATTGTAGAATTATTGACTGCAAATATTGGGGTTTTAGATCCAACTAATACGAATAATGTTTGTCCGGCTTTCTTAATAAATAAACAAGTTAAGCTACAATATACCCTGCTTTGCAAGAAATTTGTCTAGGTTCAGCAATCAGCACACAGTTGTAAGTTTAATGTAATGTATTATGCAATAGAATTTCTGCTGTTGAGGATCATGACTTTTCAATGTTGGTTTTCGTCGTAGGCTGCAAAGACCAATGCACCGATTGCAGTACAATAGAATTGTAATTCACTAGTTATTCCAGATGCTCGCCAAATCTGAAAAAAACGGGAGGTTATTTGGATTCCTCGGAACTCCGCTTATTTTCCAATTCTACAGGGTTAATTAAAGGATATAAGAAGCTGAAGATGCTATGGAAAAGAAGAGGAAGAAAATGTACTTTTCTTTTTTTAACAAATAATTTTATTACGCCAACTGTTCGGTCATTAACCTTGTAAAAATTTCAGTTTGAAACCATGTTAAGACTTAAGAATACTAACTTAAAAATTTTATTATATGGTCTAGTTTTTCAATTATTACAATTCACAAGCTATCAGATGTCAGTTTGAAATTAACTTATGATGGTTAACTTCTCAAGTAATATTTTATATTTATTATGCCAGGTAGCTTTTTGATCAACCAACCAACCTAAAGTATCAACTATGAGAAAAGTTCAATACACCATTCGTGAATAATTATAGATGATTCGGCTTTATGGATGACAACGAGCCATCCGATGGCTCCATAACAAAATCGAGCTATCAATATATGAGAAATTGACTTATGATGGTTAACTTATTAGATAATTGAAGAACTTACTAAACATAACCTAAATCTAAACTCTTTTTTTTTTTTTTTTTGTTTTTTTAACTTATCTATGAATTTAAACTAAAGTTAAGCTTCATTATGAATCACTTAATAGGAAACTCTTAGATGACCATGACCATTTTTCTGCTTCTGCAAAATTTGAAGTGCTGTAAACTAAGTATATAATATACATACTAATAATAATAAAAAAATCTATATTCAAATGTTCTATACCGAGGTAAAAATGAATGTTTTCAAGTACACAAACACTGCTCAACTAGCTTCTCAGCAACCAAACCTTTTCGAGTCGGGCAACAATAGGGCTCAAAATTTTCAACTGAAACAAGTTCTGAACATTTGCATCACCATACCCACGTTCAAACATAGTATAACGCCTAAGATAACTGCATTCGACAAAAAACAGTTGATATCTCAACAAAAGTAAAAGAGTAGCATCGTTATTTGAATTTTACACAAGAAAACTTCGTCCCATGAACACGCCAATCTAAAGTAAAATTCATTGCAAAAGCAATCAATCAATGGAGCAAATATGTGACGAGAAAATGAAACTGACAAGCCGGACTAATAATCCCCAAGGAAAACATAAGCTAAAACTGAGGTTCGGGATTTTTCATATGGCCATAAGATCACCATATTGGCGCATTAAGACGATTGAACCAGCAAAGAGTCCCACTGCACGAGCCAATTTCTGCATCCAAAAAAAAAAAAAAAAAATGAAGAAAAAGATGAAAGAAGTGTGATTATTATTTAGGAAACCCTCAATAGAATTAAATAAGAAATTTCTGTATTCAATGTGTAACGATTAGCTATGCTCAAGAGTCACGACCAACAAGTATATGACATGAGAAACAAGATGTCTTGTCCAAGTCAAAGAAAAAAACTTCAATACAAAAAACAAGACTGCAACAAAGAGCAAGTAATAGGTTAATAGCTTGAATTTTTTCCACCTCGTTTCACCCCAAGTCATGGATGTTTCAGAATTGGAATTATTTCCAGCATTAACGAGCTCAGATAGTGCATACGAGGCTCTAAATGACTATGCAACTATTTTTTTGTACTCCATCAAACACTGGTAAAACATCATCTGTACTTATTTTCCATGTCTTTATATCCAATCACTAATTTCTTGTTCTGTATAAGGCTAAAACTTATGCACAAACATAATAAGATGAAGAATAAAGAGACTATATTCAATATTCATAATGGCTCACATAAACACAAGAGTACACAACTCAACCAACTCCAGCCAAATTCGCATAGCAAAGGAAATTCACCACAAATAGATATAAGATTGAGCTAACCTCAAGCAACAAACATAGATATCAATACCCATTTTCAGAATTCGTTAAAAAAATCAATTAACCAGGACACTGTCAGTGTTAAGAGGCAAAATAATCCTGCAATAATGGATAAAACATCCCTTCAGAATTGTAACAGTAGGTTCCAAACTTAAACCTAAGCTCGGTGCCCATTTTTCAGATTCAATCACTACTACTTCCTTGTTCATTCTAAGGCTAAAACTTATGTACATTCGCGATAAGATTAATAATATAAAGACCATATTCAGCTCGGTTCACATGACCGACTCCATTCAATATCAAGGATCAAATCTCTGCTCTAAAATACCACCATAACAAGGGAAATTCAATACAAACAAATACAAGATCAAGCAAACCTCAAGCAACAAACACAAATATCAATTGCTACTTTCAGAATTCATTAAATAATCAAATCAATTAGGACTCTATCATGTTTACGGGGAAACGGAAAGCCAATCCTGCTTTTTATGGATAAACAACAAACGAAATTATGAAAATCTTAACATTAAGTCCGAATCCAAACCTAAGCTCAGAGTTCATTAACCAGATGCAACTATACAAGAGGATAGAAGAATGATAATTGGCCCGAAACTAACTTAAATAAAAAAAAAAAAAAAAAAATCGATACAAGGAAGCGATCGCATGAAATAACTTGGGCGTACCATGTTGAAGTCCCATTTAGCAGGGTCGTGAAACTGAGAGTGCCAAAAAGCTTTGATATTATCCACTGAAATTGCTTTGTCCGCCATTGAAGATCCCTTTGATGAGCTCCGAATTTGGGTTAGGGTTTGTGTGTGTGTGTGTGTGATTTTGGCCGCTTTGGTTTTGTTTGTGGGTTTGAGGACGGAGAATGTGTATTCCCTGAAATACCCTTTGGCTGGAACAAATCTTGTCCGTTCATCGTCTTTCAATCTTGTCCGTCCATTCACTCGCTCAAAACACAGTTTGGCTTTCACCTCCGCCATTATTAGGGTTTTTTGTTATAGAGCAGAAGAGGAAGTCTCTACTCTCTACACTCTGCTGTAAAAATGGACAAAAGCATGCTTGGGGATTTGGACGCTCTCCCGGAAGAAGATAAGCAGCGAATGTCGGCCATGATTGACCAGCTCCAAATCCGTGACAGGTATGTTTTGTTTGTGCCCTGCTTGACTTGTTTTCCCTTGAATCAATTTTGAAGACGAAGATTTGGACATTGATTCTTCTAGGGTTTTGGTGAATATCGAAAGCTCGTCTTTTCCCAATTATTTACGGTGTATTTGGATTTATTAATTTAGCGCCGGAGTGATTATTGGGGCAAGGTTTGTGATTTTGTTTAGGTGATTTTCGCCATTGCGAAATGCCGAAGATACAGTCATTTTTCTCAACTATTTTACTGTTTTGCTTGGATTTATCAATTTATTGGTGCCTCTGAGTAGCGTGCGAATGGGTATTGATATGTTTTAGAACACAAATATAGGAGTATGTAGTATATGAAGGGTCTTCGTGGACGAATTATTTTGAGCCAAGCTGCGTTCTTTTTGTCGATTTAGTGCTTAGTGAGAGGCGAATGAGCCTCTTGAAAAACTAGATTTTTTCATGAGTCTTCGTACTTCGGGTTTTCATTTAGGATGATAGATGGGATGAACTTAAGTATTTCTATTGATTTAAAATTGAAAAGACGGGTTTTGGCGACACGAGAGTATGTCGAATTTCTGTTTGCAATGGCAAGTGGGTGTTGAGGTACTTGAGGTTTATCTGGTGGTGTGCTTTGTGCAGGGTCGATTGACAGCAATTTGATTTGATTTTTGGTAGATAAGGAGTTGAAAAAATTTGGATTTCCAGCCTTGTTTTGTCTTCTTATTTTCCAGTTTAGCGGCTCTCTTTTTCGACAAGGTTGTTTTATTAGAAGGATTGACGAACATTAATTCAATCGTTTATGCTGGAAATGTCACATTATGTTCACAGGCAATGACTGGAGCTCCAAGTCTAACTGTATCTAAAAAGAGTATTTCTGTTGCAACTATTTTTTTTGTTTTGTTCTTATCGTATGGCTGTAGTGGATTTCAAAGATTCATTTTTTCTCGTTTTTCTGCTTAATTTGATTCAATTGTTTTTCCATGTGGAAGTGTTTGGTCGACAGACAGCAAATTTGAGTTGATTTTTGCTAGCTGATGGATAGCAAAAATTTGGAGTTCCCTTTTTTGACAAATATTTCTTTATTAGAAGGATTTATGAACATCTATACAATCGTGTATATGCTGTAAATTTCACATTAGGTTCCCAGGCAATGATTGGAGCTCCAAGCCTAATTGTATGTAGACAGGGTATTTAATTATTTCTGTTGCAACTGTTTTTTGGGTTGGGAGTTTGAGGTTGACTGAGGATCACCTTCACTGCATACATATATGTGCTGAAGGCTTATCATAATTCTAACAAGTGTTCAATGCTAGATTTTGATATGTCGAAATATTTCCTGCGAATAAATTTGACTATTAAGAGTAGAGAGTTATGAGCATGAGTGTGGGTATATAGCAAATGCCATTAACTAGTTGTGAAATTTTGTCTGTCCGTTGGTCTAAATGAAATAATTTTACACTAGCCCCTCGTCATTTTCAACATTCCTTTTCTTCATTTTTCTTGTTTTTTTTTTCCTTTTCTATTACGTTGAGGTGCCTCATTTGTTGAGGTTATTGATTATTGATGTCTGTTTGAGTTCCTATTTCTCATTCAATATTCTGCCATCCTAAATGGGCTTATGTTAATTTGTTTGTACTCCATCGTTAAGGTTCGGTGTAGATTTTACGGTAAAATGCCATCCTAGGTGATGCTATGTAAAGTACGTGGACTATTTTATCTTATGGTTCTTAACGTGCAGTTGAATTAAAATCCAAAGCTTTGTGGTGAAACTCTGGGTAGACTTTGAAAATATTTTACCTAGTTTTGCATCCTTTTCAGGCAAACTTTCCGGGAGTAAGTTTTACGAGTTATTCTTTGAAATTTTCGCTAAACTAACTTCTCGCATTAAAAACATGTTTTAATTTTTAATACCACATCGTCTTTCATTATTATTAAAATGTACTGATTTAGTCGAGCCATTACTGATGAGAAACACACGACTGGAAAAACGAAAAGTTTAACTTGTAATGTTTGTTTTGCTTATACAGTCTGAGGATGTATAATTCGCTGGTCGAAAGATGCTTCACGGATTGTGTGGACACTTTTAGGCGTAAAACACTGGACAAACAAGAAGAGACTTGCGTGCGTAGATGTGCCGAGAAGTTCTTGAAGCACTCGATGCGTGTTGGCATGAGGTTTGCAGAGTTGAACCAAGGAGCCGCAACTCCCGACTAAAAAAAAATCGATATCCCTTTTTGATGCAATAACAGCTAGACCATATAAAAAGATTGTGTTTTTTCTATGCACAGACTATAATATGCCTTTTCTTTGCCTGATATTGCGATTTTTTTGGACGACAAGGCTGTGTTTCGTAATTTTGTTTCGATTGATTTATCTGGAGTTTTGGATATTGCTTCTTCTGTTCGGTGAAAATAAGAGTGAAGATGAGTTTCGGTTTTCGTTTTTCCACTCGATCATTTCTTTCAACTGGTTAAGTTGTATTGGTGGAGTTATTACCTGCTGGAAAGTCAGACGAATTAAGAAATCGAAATAGACATGGCCAAAGCCAGTTTTGGGCCAAGGGGTGTAGGGCCCTGAACATGTCCGAACATATGTACGGGTTGGTTTGGTGAATTGCGAGTCTTGGGTCGGCACTGTTCATTAAAAAATTAATAAAAATTTCGTAAAAAGGGTCAAATTGCCGGATTCGGTTCTGGAACCAGTCCGGTAACACCATGGGCCCGGTTAGGCCAAATGACCAAGGGCCGGCTTTGGGTTGGTTCAGGGCCGGTTGGCGTTTGACATGTAGTCATGTCGATACTGAATAGGAGCGAAAATACAAAGGAATGAAAGAGTATCAGATAGGATTTATTTTTTCTTTCTAAAATTAAATGGAACAAATAGAAAGATTGATATGAAGTCATGTGCAAGAAAGAGTGTTAGATTTTATTTATTTATTTATTATTATTATTATTATTATTATTATTTTATTTTATTATATAGACCAAATTAAGTGATATTGCAGATAATTAAAAGAGGTAAATGCAGAGTGCAAATTGGGTAGGTTGACATGCAACAACTTGAGGGATTTTATTTTATGTTACTAAGACCTAACCCATTAATATTCTTGTATTTAAAAGTTTGATCTACCCATGGCCGTGGGTACATTATTCTATAGGTAGTTACAATATTGCATATTAAATAATTTTCGAGAGATTTTTAATTAAAAAAAAAAAATCATTTTCTTTCTTTTTCTTTTTAATTATTTATAAGAAACAATCCAAAAACATTTTATTTTATTTTTTTCAGTTTAATTAATATTCCAAATTTGGAGAACAATTATCCACTTTCTAAATTTGGAGAACCAAACAAAATCCTAAAATTATTCCTTTCCAATTATTCACTTTATAATGAGTTCTTTTTTTTTAAAAAAAAAAGATTGTTGCTTACTCACGTAAAATAATAAGTAAATATTTGCATAATATTTCAACAAAAAAAAATAAAAAAAATTAAAAGACGATAGCAAGAAAACGAAGCAAGAGCTTCATACTTTTTTTTAATTTCTCCAACAATCTCATATTTTCCTTAATTTTCTTTATTTTTGTAACAGATTTGGTGTTCTAAAGCTTCAAATTAACTCTCAATTTAATGTTTTTACGGTTTTTGTTTTTTCTAGGACTTACTTTGATAGTTTTATAACATTTAGGTCCCCAATTGATAAAAAAAAATATTTTAAGCCTCGATTTGATAGTTTACCTATCTTTCAAACTGAAAAAACTCGTTGGGAGATTATAATTTTGTTCCTTTCAATCCAGCTGTTGAAGAATTTTGAAATATTCATAATTATCACATTATTGTAAACACATGATTTTCAATGAGAAACATGCACTTTTGACTTTTTTAAAT